TACCGCTTGGGGCAATTACTGCCGTATAACAACACCGATTCCATGCAAGAGAATCGAAAAGTGCCCATTCTTCAAATCCAATGCGTAAAAGATAGATACTTCCACATTAAATTTACTAGGACGCCTCAGTGATAATGTTATTGTAATGAAGCCGATCAAAGAATCTTGGAAAGGATCAATCAAGAAACTACTATTGATCCACGATCGATCTATACTTGGCTACTAAGTCGTATAAAACGGTTGGAGAAGGTTCGACGGTATCGAGAAAGAGAAAGAATATGGACCGAAATTTTATCTGGTGTGGACCACACACTGAAATTAATCCCTTGATCGAGATCGAGACCTAAGATCGTTCAATCGAGATCACCTGATCAAGATCACCTGGTCGAGATCTTAATTGTGATCGTAATTGTGGTCATAAGCCGCGATCGTTGACCATCTGGTCGTACCGCAATCGATGACCACTCGATCGCGATCCAAGGCTTGGATCGAGATCGTGGCGACTGTATCTGGTCTGGGCCACATCGGCAATATAATTGACACATTGCAGTAAATTCTGGCATATAGATATGTGTCCTCGTAGGTTGAGCATTTTTTTTAGTAAATATCAAACTGAAGTTTCTTTTACTTTGAAGCACGCACGCAGACTTCTTTCCGGGCGGGATAACTTTGACCCCCCCCCCCCCGACAATAAAGATATTCGGCTACTCTACCACACAAGTCATATGATAATATATTGTTTAGTCAAGGGTTACGAGAATACGATAAGCAGCTCCCTACGATTGAATGCTGTATATACGTAAAGGGCTATATACAAGATCGCGAGAAGGTTCAAATGGTTATGGTGAAGTCAATTGGAAAAATTTGGAAAGATCGAATGGAGAAGTATTGTCGATACAAAATCGTTTTTTGTGGGTCAATTAGCCACACAAAACGAATCTAGAAGGGATTAACGAATTCGGATACAATGAAAATATGGATTACTTACATGTTATAGATCGCAATTTCGGACTATATTGGATTCAACTATTGTATTGATCCGATTGAATTAATCGGATTCGACCAGATTATACTTTAGTGTAATATGGGATCGACCCTATTTTTACCGATCAGATTGCATTCGATCGGTATTGGCCAAGTGAGGGTCACTGTATGTCAACGAAGATGGTGATGAGTATTCACTTACAGAGGAGCAGCTGTGAACGAGGAAGTAATGGAAAAGTAGAATAGCTCTTATAAAAACTACGAATGTTTTAACCATCAATTTTTGTTTGACAAAGCAATATAGAGGTTCTACTATAGATCTTATTATTTGTGAGCCCCGACATCTGCTGTGTCGTCCACTTTATACAGTGTTGGTCATATTACCAGACACCATCTGTTAAAGACGGGACGTTCCATTGGCAACAAGATCGCTACTGCTTCCATATTATTATTCAATTGTAATTTAAATAGACGGTTACTCGATCGTGATCGTGATCATATGCGCGGTCAATATGAGCTGTCAAATTCATCATAATTAAAGAGAATACGATCAAAATTGTGACCAAAGACAAGTCCATAAATATCGTGATTAAGGACAAGTCGATAAAGAGCTTGATATAGAACAAGTCGTTCAAGATTGTGATCATAAAAAGGTCAATTACAAGTCGATCAAGATCATGATCAAAGAGATTAAATCGAGATCGAGATCGCGATTTTACTGACGTGAATCGCACTTCGAGGTCTCCTTTTCTGAAAGGACAGTAGCCCATGGCGTACAGATAGGCAATATCCTAGATTTTGGATATTTGATTGGTTAACATTAACCAGAGCTCCTTTTACTTTTAAGAACTCACACATAAGTATGTTCCGGGTGAACAACTTTGGCCCTTTGACGACCAAGGACTTCTGTCGCGTGTTAAGCAAGAGTAATCTTGGATTGTTTGGCTAGGAATTACAAGGACTCTCAAATCAAACAACTTCACCTTTGATCGGACGCAGCAACATCGACAAGGACTGGACACAAGATCTCAAGACGGCTCACGTGGTCAGAAGATCAAGTAGAACAAGCATACATAGTAGACAAGGAGGTCTAAAAGAAGATCAGGGCGATTCAAATCGAGCGCCACCAAGTAACCCTAGATCGCGTGAGGAATTACCACGCGATCGGCCCTATCCCTAACATACATCAAGACTGGTATCCTCCAAGGCCAACTAGAAGAGTGCTGCCGGCCCTGCCGAAGGGTACACGAACGATGAAGGTAAGGATTACGTTGCGGTGAAGTCGATTGGAAACATTTGTATCACGTACATGGCATGGACACATTGTAGAATTACACTTAATTATGCTTTATAATCGATCAGTCTTTATCGGGTCGACCAATTGATCGTCACAATCACTTGATTGTACTGTGGGATCGATCGAGTTTTATTGGATCGATCAATTGATCGCCAGAATTATTTATTTATAAATATGTGATCCGGTTTTATCATATCGATTAATCAATCGTCTATGATTGTTACGGGCCAAGTGGCGATTACATCTACATATCAACCTGTTACGCTTGATCATGATCGTATCTGCAATAATAATTGACTACAATCGATCTCAATTTGCAATCGTGACAAGTTCCGATCGATTGCAACTGCGATTGTAGCCGGTTACAATCGATCGTGCCCGCGATCGGGATCGCGGTCGAGTTAATCGACATGGATATAATTACGATCAGATGAACATGGATACAACAGCAACCAGATCGACATGGGTACAAGTGCGATCATAATCGACTATTGCAATAAGATCGACATGGATAAAAGTTACGATGATGATCTAAATGGATACAATTGTGATCTGATCGAGAATTGTGATTGGATCGAAAATTGCGATTAGATCGACATAACTACACTTGCGATCAGATCGACATGGATACAATTGCGATCAGATCGACATCGTAACCAAGAGTGAGATTGCGGCTGTATTGGAGCGGGCCACATAATTTTTCTGAAAGGACGACACGTGATAGAAGACCTGGTATACATATTGGCATTATCGTAGGTTTTAGTATTTGATTCGTTAACTTAATCAAGATTTCTTTTACTTCTAATTACTCACGCAGACTTCTCTTCCGGGTGGGATATTTTTGGCCCCCCACGATCAAGAGCTTCTGCCACCATACCTACAAGTAATATCCCTGAACGTTTTGGACAGAGATTACAAGACCTCTCATAGATAAAATTTTCATGCGTTTGGACGTAGTATCACGCAAAGGACAAGGTAGACGGCTCAAGTGGTCAGAAGGTCAAGTGTATCAAGTGGATCAAGTATCTACATTTTTGGACAAGCCAATCTCAAGAGAGATCAGGGCGACTCGTATAGAGCCCCCCAAGTAACCCTCGATCACGTGGAGATTCCCGCGTGATCGAACCCCAACCAATCCCAACCACGGTCAAGTTCAGCATCAACTGGAGTCCACCAAGAAGAGTGCTACCCGTCCTACCGACGGGTACACAAAGTGAGGAAGATATTGCTACACACGGAAATGAAGTACCCCCTCCGATAGTCGATTGTCTGGGCGTTAGTGGAGAGTCGGGGTCACATCAGAAATTTTGTGAACCCCGTTCCACCACAACTGCACACGAAATCGGCGTACCTCTTCCGTAGTCGGTCGGATGGGCGCCGTGGGGTAAGTGGTGATCGCATAGCTAAGTTTGCGATCGCACTACACCACATGGTCAGAAGATCAAGTAGATTTTGTATCTGCATCCAGAGAAGACGGACTCAAGTCAGATCAGGGCGACATGAACATAGCACCTTAGAAACGCTTCGATAGCGTAAAGATTTTCCACACGGTCGACTCCCAACCAATCCCTAACACAGTCAAATTCAGCATCAAACCCAGTCCACCGAGAATACTGTTACCCGCCCTACCGACGGGTACAGAAGGTGAGGAAGGCAAGTTACCTGGAACGGAATATCCCCTTTAAATCTGTTGTCGAGGGCCATGAAGGCTCAGTATAGCATCAAATATTTGTGACGATCACTCCACCACAATAGTGGGCGTGCCCGGATCTTCTAGTGACTTATGAATTCACTGTGTTTCCGTAAGAGACCATGTCATGATCTAGAGGGGGCTTGGAATCAAATGCGTCAGGAATATAAATGCGCTTATCAACTTATGAAAATTCGTCAAGGCAAGGCATCGATGGGATCGAACAACTTTCGCCAGCGATCAGCTGCTGTACCCGATCAGACATCATCAGAACCGAATCGCACTGTGAGAGCGATCCGCCGGCTGTGATCAACCGTGCGAAGATGACGGCGAATATGACGGCGAAGCAGCGGTTGCTGCACGTGGATCGGCAAGTTGACGTTGCTGCCGTCGTAATTTATGCATGCAGATGGACTTGACGTACGACGGCGTAGTTAGCACGTACTGAGGGGGGCATCGATTGCTGGGCTGCGCTCGCTGTCGTACCTTGGCCACGTCTGAGGATTTACAAAGGTGCAGCGGCACCATCACTAGGGTGTGCATCCTGGTAATGTTATCTCGTCCAAGCAGTCGTGCTCAGACCAGACCAAGATGTGTTCAAAAGCGAATCCAGTTTGGTCGAGCCTTCACTGTAATGTGGTGAAGGTCCTTCATCTGAAGGATAGCCGCAGCCTAATTCTGTAACATGAGACGGTGATTGTGTTCGTTGTCTCGCAAGCCAGAAACTGACTCTTTGATGGAACATCCAGACCGTAATGAAACCCCACAGCCAGGACGGCACTTGTCGTACAACACTGGCACCACCAGGCAGGACTCCCAGTGACAGAGTCCCCTCCCCCATCAAGAATCACCTCTAGACGCAAAACGCTATCCAAATCCTGCAGCACCGAAGTACATAATCCGATTACCTGCAGAAGCAACGGCATACGCAAGCGGTCGTAGGTTTTATTTTGTTTACCAGTCGACGAACAAGCTCAGATCCGATCTCACGCGGACAGCGCCTGAGTTTGCGTTGTAACTCTGTGCGGAATGAAAAAAACAAACACTGCACCTCCCCTCGATAGACTGCAACAGACGACTGCACCGCCAGTGGCAACTTCAACTTCCACGCCGCGCAAGCCAAATGTATACTCGCGTTTGTCCGATCCCAAGTCATACACGGGTTTCTCTAAAAAGCGGTGAAGGCCAATGGCCACGATCTGACAGAACGAGTAATGCACGACTTGTCTAACGCCAATGTCAAATATGACGCGAGTCGGCCGAAGTGGATGGGGTGAGTACAGTAGCCTCGGACAGGATACGTCTCGTCTAGCTTCGTAAGCTAACTTAGACTTCCATGCAGCTCCACTCGAAGTGTCACGAGTACCAGCTCGGGTACATCAGGTGCAAATGCTTTAGCTCCGTCGCCAATTCCTGATCTTGTTGAGCGACCTGCGTCCACGCTGTCTGTTTCAGAAAAACTCCATGGAGACCCGAACGATCCGCACACACTTCTGAAGGCGATCTTTCACTATTATTGCCGTTTTGGGAGAACTGGATCGAGAGGTCTTGGAGAGACGACACTCGCTACGTCTCGTTCCTTGTCTGATTCAACAATCAACGAGTCTCACGCTATTTATTCTTCCTGTTCGACCAGATAATTTGAACTTTGTCAAGTTGTGCCGCGACTCCCCTGACCTGCTTGGCCCTTCCTTAAGCAAAACGGACGTGGATCTTATCTTCGTAAGGTCCAAGAAGAAGGGGGAACGGCGGATCAACTATACACGGTTTCTAGACGCTTTAGGGATGATCGCCATCCAGAAATACGGCGACATGGTACCAAACGAGCTCAAATAGAAGTTTCAGTCTTACTAACTACTCGTACTAATGTCATTATTGCAGGCACTAAAAGCGTCTGTGCCCAAGCTATTGGAGGCTTATCTTGCCTATCTGCCATGCCTGCTCGAGCTCACGGACGGCGAGACGGTGCGTGATTGTCCTTACCATGATATGCACGATAAATATTCGATTGCTAACATCGTTGGCTATTGCAGGTCCAGGCTGTGTGGCAAAAACGAGCAGATCACAACGAATCCATCGTGACAAGTGAAGCGGTATCATCTCCAAAGTCACCTTTGTTTTCAATTGCTCGACCTAATAATCTGTCTACTACTTAGCGATACATGAACGGATCATGTAGTAGTTTGGATCCCAAGCGACAAATTGCAGCCATCACTACATTTTGACTACCACAACCTGTCACAACTAAATTTAGTATTCAATTCTCTCAGTGCTTCTCTCAATCTTCTTTCAATCTTCTATATTTAATTCAAAAGAACAAGTCTCAACATGATCAGCTCGACTCCCTTCGGTGACCTGCGATTGCTGCCCGTGGATTACCACCGTGAAGTCGCCCGTGAGCTTGCCGCGTTCTTTCACTCCTTCTACCGCTTTGGTTTTGCCTCAAACCGCTTTGATCTGCAGTCTGAGACGTATTTGGACTTCCTGCACAACGTTTTATTGGGCTCGCTCTGCATTGGCACCGTCGTCTTTTTTGTGCTCTCCGTTATTGTTGTACGACGTACTGTGCTGCACATTCGTAGTGGTAAATACTCACTGTTAACTCTGCGCTTACACGCACTCCATGAGCTGTTGAATGAGCTGCTCGTGGGGAAATTTGGTTTACAAACGCCCAAGCTCTGACATTGTACTGCTTTGTTATGATACATTCTATAGCTTATGTACGTCGCACATCGACGGACTCTACATCCGTGGAAGTGCTAGCAGTGGGCCTCTTGACGTTCTTGGCAATCAGTGCCCTCGGGGGATTGCTAGGAGAAGCTCAAGTGGACTATAGCGCCGGTGTCATACTCGATACCATGACCAACACGAGCGATCTGCTCCAGGACGCGCGAACTCTTACGACGAAAAGTCTGCAGACAAGTGACGCCTTGCGTGTCAATGCCGACAATCTGGTCACGTCGTTCAACGAGAGTGAAGTACCAGCTGATGCGTTCAAATTATCGATTGAAGCACTGAGACTGGTGCACACATCAAAGGATTTATGGAACCAGACGGACGCACTGCTGCCCAAAAACTTCTCAGAGGTGGCCAAGGACTGGGAACTCAACTACTTTGTCTTGAAGTCATCGACGAATGGAGCTATTCTTGCGGTAACACTTGCCAGTTTCTTGTCCATCGCGTCGGTTGGGTGGGCGATGGTCTCGCCTCTTCGTGTGTCCATTCTCGTGATCTTGAGTGTCGTACCGATCTCGCACACACTAATTGGCGCTTATCTGTCATCGACAATCATGACGGCGGACTTTTGTGCTGCACCTATGAGCAACACGCTCAATCTCGTAGGCCCAACGCCAATTGCAGCCTACTACATCGAATGCCCGGCAAATGCGTCACTACCTTTTGCTGGCGCTGTGGCTAGTGTTCGACAAACTGCATCGGAAGTGGCTGCGATGCAGCAGGAGCTGGAGCGCAATGCATCCGGTCAAGGAGATGTCGGTCGTCGCATGAAGAAGGAGTACTTGGACCCCATCGGCAAGCAATTGGATGATGTCGACGACTTGCTGAGCCAGTTTTCAGTATCGCAGACCTGCAAGAATGTGTCGACAGCATTCGAGTACGCTGCCACCACTTTCTGCGAGTATGGCATGTTGGGCTTTTTCTCCATGTGGGTGCACCAGATCCTGCTATGCCTCATCCTATTCGTGTGCGTCGTGGTATCCGTGCTGGTCTACGAGCGTGTACACTTCCGCGAGGTCCGACTCGACGCGCACTACCATCTTTTGTCCGGCGACGAAGAGGGTGATATGGAACACGTGTACCTTTCATCGGACTAACTCATTCAAGTTGCAGCCCCCCCCTGCGTTCAATCTGCGACCCCCCTCCACTCCTTGCATCAATAATACTTTCGCTTACTTGTGTTGACACTTCTTTACTCTTTCGACTCCGCATCCTTGTCTTTCTCTCCATGGGGTACTGGTTGCCCTTGGCCAGACTGGTTGATCCCAAGACGCATATCACCCACCCGGACGAGATGTCGGTGTTCTTGGGGTGACATCGCACAGATATTGTTTTGAACAGCCATTTTTGAATACCTACAAGGCTCACTCATAGAGCAAGTCCTCTTTGGATGCATTGCGTCAAATCAATATACTGGTTTGTTGCAAGACTTGGCCGCCTACGCTAATCTCTCGACGATGGTCTCGACAGCTTCTGTGACCGACTCAAACACGGCGACGTCGTTGCGTTCTGCCATCTCGCGCAAATATTTTCGGGCTCGTGCCAGATCTTTGAACTCGCGGCCAATGATCCCTACCTCATTCTCTATCATACACCCTTCCTCCACAGGCTCGATCACCAGCAATAAAGCTTGGTGACTTAAAACGAGCTCAATTGCCTCTGTCATGGCGGCAATCGAGCGCAAGTTCCTTGGAATCACGAATAGGATGAGCTCTGCGATCGTCTTCTGGGTTTCATCTTTCTGAAAGCGTTCAGCCAGAGCCTTTGCGTGCTTCTCCGCTGCCAAGGACAACCCAACTTGCAAGTAGTCCGCGAACGGGACGTACACGGAGATCCCAGATTTGTGCAAGAGCGGGATAGCAACCTTCTGTCTCCAGGACGTCGCTGACAAGTTACCTCCTAGATAGACGGATCCTCCTGTAGAGTCGCTGACTGATCGACAGCCTAGTTGCTTCGCAAGGGAACGATTTAATGACGATAGTCCGGAAGATCCACAGCCCTGTTCGTTGTCGTCGGTGATGCTCTTGCTGCTGCCACAGCTGTTATATTTCAGCAGCCGTAAAGAGTGCGAACGTGACGTTGCACAATTCAATTGGTGCTTGCCACACCATTCGTTTAGCACAATCGACGAACGTTTCCTTAGACGCCGCATTTCTGGTCGAAACTTGGGCGCGTTGGTTTGAATGAGCCACGTAATGCATCCATCAATAGCCGTCGCCACGTCCGGGAAAATCCCTACATTTCTCTTCAATGCTAAGTCACGGAGACACTGCCGCGCTCCGTTTAGATCCGCTAGTTCCATCTTGGACAGCAACTTTCCAGCAATTTTGTCTCCTTCGCCAATGTCCTCGACCACAAGCATTACCTTCCTACCTCTACAAATAAATTCCACTGCTTCGTTGATTGACACGAGACAACGTGTCAGTTTGTCAACCACCACGAGCATAATCTGCGCAGTCTCCTTGGCCTTGGTCTCAATTTCGATGAGCTCCTCGAACCACTCGTCTACCTGTGGATTAAAGTAGCGCACGTGCGCGGCGTCCAGCATCGGCATGGCAATGTCTTCTCTCCAGGTCGTAGGGTTGCATGAACCGCCAAGAAAGATTGCAATATCCATGAGACACTCGCTTGTGACCGGCTCGAGACCTTCGCTTAAGCTTTTCGTCTTGCGTGTCAAACGTGATGTTACTGTCTTGCCCTCGGACGCCAAAGCTACATCACTCGTACCGTCAACAATCGAGTTCTTAGATCGTGTACGCACTAAATGAGGTGATGTACAGGAGCGGCGCTCTGTAGAGCAGAAGGAATGTGCAGGACGCTGTATCGGTGGTGGAGTCATATGATACACAGGAATCGGGTTGTCAATATCTCTTTCGATTAGTATTCTGGACTGAAGGCTGAGAACCTTTGGAATTGTAAGACTAAATACTTCCCATTCCTCCCCTCCCCCTCTTCATGATAATGACCCAACCATTCGCACGTCTCCCTACATGCATCGCCCCCTCCAAGTATTTCCTCGACTATGTCGTCGATTTAGATCACTGTCGCTTTGAAGTTATTGAGCACGTGCATCTTTCCGTCCTGCAGTCGACACGTCGCATCATTTGCCACGCACTGGAGCTTCATGTATTCGACGTGTCCGTGTCGCTTGAAGATCGTCTCACGCCCATTCAATGCAGCAAAATCTGCTACTCGGTGACTGATCAGACGGTTGAGTTGTTACTGGATGACGAACTACCTGCCGGTTCTATGGCAGTATTGACGCTTACGTGTCATGGGGAGCTCAATGACAAACTGCGTGGTTTCTACCGCAGCGCGTACGATCATGAGCTGGAAGGCGAGACGCGATTCATGGCTGTCACGCAGTTTGAAGCTTGTGATGCACGCCGAGCCTTTGTTTGCTGGGACGAACCAGCTATCAAAGCGAAATTTGAAATCTCACTGACGTGTGATGTTCATTTGACGGCCATTTCCAATACACATGTGGTGCAGACGCTCGTACGTCCGCGTGCCAAGAACTCCTACATCCGAACACTATCACGCTCCAAAGAGGCGACGTTGGAAAAGCTCTGGAGATTCGCAGAGACGCCAGTCATGTCCACGTACTTGGTGGGCATGGTTCTGGGTGAGTTTGACTTGGTCTCGACTGTGACAAAGGAAGGAGTGCTTGTGTCTGTATACACTCCTGTAGGACGCAGTGAACGCGGCAAGTTTGCGCTTGAAGTGGGAGCCAAGGCACTGTCCTTTTACACTGAGAGGTTCGGGATCCCGTACCCGTTAAAGAAGATGGATATGCTGGCCATTCCTGATTTTGCAGCGGGGGCGATGGAAAATTGGGGAGTCGTTACGTATCGTGAGACGAGGCTGCTTATTGATGAACAGCTTAGCAGTTTTGGACAAAAGATGGCTACCGCTCGTACGGTGTGCCATGAGATTGCACACCAATGGTTCGGTAATATGGTAACGATGGAGTGGTGGACCGGCCTGTGGTTAAACGAAGGCTTCGCTCGTTTCATGGAATTTGAGGCAGTGCATCATGTCTTCCCTGAGTGGAATGTGTGGGAAATTTTTGTGCAGGATATTACTATGCGCGTTGCTATGGGCAAGGACTGCATGCTCACGTCGCACCCGATTGAGGTCAAGGTGAATCATCCTGATGAGGTTGACCAGATCTTTGATGTCATCTCATACGCAAAAGGCGCTAGCATCATTCGCATGCTATCGAAATACCTAGGTCGGGACGTGTTTTACCGTGGCATTCATGAATATCTGGTCAGTTTCAGCTACCGCAATGCGCACACGCAGGATCTCTGGGAGGCACTAGAGCAGGCTTCTGGGCAGCAGATTTCATCTCTGGCGAGCGGATGGACGAGTCAAACGGGATATCCCATCGTGACAGTATCCGACGACGGTAAGCTGGTGCAGGAACGCTTTTTGGCGGATAAAGCGCTCAAAGCGACAGTATTGGAGTCCCAACCCAATGCCGGCGTATCGTGGGATATTCCACTAACTTTTGTGGCGTCAGACAACCCGAAGGAGGTTAAGCGAGTGGGCATCTGGGATTGCAATACATCAGAGACGGCCACTGCCACCTTGGCGACTGAAATGAGTGCACTTGCAAGCACTGATGGCGCTTGGTGGATTAAGCTCAATGCGGATCAGGCTGGTTTCTACCTCGTGAACTACTCGTCGGATGGCTGGAAGCGTCTACAGATCCCTGTGCGTGAAAAGGTGTTGGGAGTCGTGGATCGGATGAGCTTGTTGAATAGTATCTTTGCATTTGCTCGCAGCGGCGTGCTGCCGGTGTCTCGTGCGCTTGACTTTAGCCTTGCGTACGCTGAAGAACCGGAGCATTTATGCTGGAAGGAAATTTCGTCAAACATGCGCTTCTACTGCACGCTTTACAACACTGATACGTTCTACCCGAAACTACAAGCGTATATTCGTCAGCTTTTCGCATCAGTCATGAAGAGGTTGACGTGGAAGGCAGTAGCAGGCGAATGCTCTACGGTGGCTTCGTTTCGTCGGGATGTGATCAGCATGCTTGCTTTGGGCGATGACCCTGAAGTGATTGCTGAGGCCCAGTGTCTTTTTCAAGCGTACTTTGATGACAGCTCGGCATTAACGGCTGACCTCCGCAGTGTCATATTCAATGTGCAGGCTCGACGTGGAAACGCCGTCCACCTAAATCAGCTACGTGAGCGTTACGAGACCAGCAACTTTATTGAGGAGAAGCTGGATTGCCTGACTGCGCTGGGTCTTTTTAAGTCACTGGAACTCAAGCATGAGGTGATCACGTGGGCACTTAAGAACGTGCGTTCGCAGGATATTCAATACGTTTTCAGCAGCGTGGCGGCAGACGCACCAGGTGCTGCGTACGCTTGGGAGTATGTGCAGGAGCACTGGGCAGGGTTGAATGTACAGTACCGCCCGTTGATCGTTGGCCGTATTGTCATGTCTGTGATATCCCGATTCCAGACCGAAGCTCACGCACAAGAGGTGGAGGCATTCCTTGAGACGCGTAAACACTCCTCTTACACGCAGTTGTTGGATGCCTCATTGGAGCGTATTCGTGTGAAAAATGTCTGCTACCAGCGCAATCGCGATGAACTGGCCAAGTGGCTCGAGTCGATTTCAAAATAAAGCTGATCCCATTACTTCAACAATTGTACTTTTTAACTTCATTTGGTTGAGTTAGTAGTTCGCGCTATACAGTGGAGCGCCTTCCAAAACATGCACAAAAAGCTTGACTTTTTCGGGTTTTCAGGTTGAATAGTTAAACTCGTGTGTCTTATATACAGGAGATACAGGCTAGAACGCGTGCATTGCAATGACTCAGAGACAAAGGTATTATTGCTTCGGTCATGCGCAAAAAAAGCTCCGGATTAAGGAGTACCCTACTGATCAAGCAACGTCAAGAGAGTTCGCGGGACTTCTGATGAGGGTTGCACCCAACACTCTCCTAGTGATGAGGTATCCCTCATCACCTTGAAGACTGAGTTGACAAACACATGTCACTTCGCGACCTAGTTAACTGTAGAGCGTCGAGCAATTTTGTCCGACGCCAGTCGCTAGACGATCGTAGGATCATATATGTTAAGCGCAGCCCCTCCAACAAGGATGGCGGTTCGCCTTGCAACTGGCTCATATTTAACTGTAACAGGGCATCTAGTTACACGTAAACATTAAGTAATATACTTAATGTTTGGTCTAAAAGTATCCATGATTACTTTTGACCTGTCACTTGGGTGCGATACACAAATGTGATCCACCCTCGTGAATGTGATATCCATTGATGGATTCACATAAGAAGGGATGACGCTAGTTAAAGCTAGGCATCACGACGTCTCAGAAGGACGTCAGTTGCGATCTTAAATCTAGATTTAAGATCATGCGACAGGATACGCTTCTAAAGAGTCGCGTATCCGATCTATATACATATATAGCCAATCAGTAGTTAAGTATATATTTAATTATAATTAATTAAATATAGCTCAGTCTTGAATTTACTTAAACAAACGCACCACGCACGAGAAGTTGAAAGACTTCTGCGTGACGTCGGTGCTTTAGTGTTAAGAAGTTCGTTGCACTCTCGCTTAAGCGAGAGGCAACTGGTGGTACGACTGCTTAAGCAGTCGACGGACCTCCTAACACCCTTGCACGCGAAGGTAAGACGGTCTAACCGCTTCCTCGCTTGTGCATAAGGTGTGTGCTCGTAGTACGAGGCAACTTCATAGAAGTGCCCGTCTACACTTGGTAGCACTAGTAGTCCTTCCCACGACCCGTCTCTCTGAGCGTGCGTGTGGTTGAGATGGTCCTTCATATGGACTGGAGTGACTTCCCTCACCTCTCCCAACATCATAGGGAGTTGGCAGAGCATATGGCGCAGGGACTTGGTGAACAAGCCCTGGTCAACCTCTTGCATTGTCCTCCTGAGCAACATGTTGCTCAGTTGGAGCAATTTGAGGCGTTCGTGCTCGGACAGCGTAGAAACGCGTCCGAGGTAAACAGCCAAGCCACCGCTGAGTCCATCACTAAGACTCAGGATGAGCTTAGGCTTGAGCAGGCACGTAATGAGGAGCTCAACAGAACTGTTGAGACGCTCTCTGCCCGGCCTGCTCAACCGAGGCCCATTCGGATGGACCCTCCGAAGTTCGATGGAACTAGCCCTCACACGATTGTTCACTGGCTATTAGCAGTTGAGCAATGTGGAGTGGCGGAGCTCATCGAAGACGAAACCAGAATGGTGTCGTATGCCATGTCCAACTTGCGTGGCAAAGCGTCAGAGTGGGCATACTCTGCGCTGATGGCTAATGCTGATGCATTTCCATCATGGGCGATCTTTAAAACAAAGATTTGCGCCATATATCAGCCGCCTAACAACGAAGTGTTGCTTATGGCGCGCTTCTTTGGAGCACGACAGGCGAAACGCTCTCTGCAATAGTTTGTGCAGGAGATGCGTTCGCTGTCGGCGTCCATCAATGGGGAACCGATACCGGAACGTATCAAGGTGGCCACGTTCATGAATGGACTTAGGCATGGCCCATTGCGTCAGGCCCTTTTCAAAAAGGTCTAATAGACTATGGAGGAGGCAATTGACATTGCCTTAGTTGAGGAGCAATCCTACAACAGCGCCTCGGCGACAGCCTATTACAGGCCGTCGACCGAAAGGTCTGATGCCACTCCTATGGAGTTAGGCAATGCAGATGTGATCTGCTACAAGTGCGGCAAGCGAGGCCATATGATGGCTCGCTGCTATGCCAAAGTAGCTGCTGGTGCTAAGGCAGCCAGCAAAAGGTCTTCCAATCCGAAGGGAGGTGCGAAGAACCAGCGTGCACGACGCACGAGTTCAGCACCTGCCCAAGATGGGTCGGGAAATGCGGGAGCGCAGTAGGGACGAGATGCCCTACTGTCGCGGACCCCAATGTTTAGCGCTATAGAAAAATGGGTAGCATAGTCCCTGAGGTTCCGAAAGGTCGGACCTCAACCCTTTTGGTCTATAGCGCTCGAGTACGAGGCTATGACCAAGTGATGACCCTTCTCGTGGATTCGGGTGCATCACAAAAATTTGTGAAACTCGCGTCTCTGAAAAGGAGACCGGCGAGTTATGAGTCGCTTTGCCAGGATGGCAAGCGAGAAGAGGCGATCGTTCGTTTAGCGAACGGCGCGCTCGCTAAATCGGAGGGAGTTCAAGTTGAACTCGCCTTCAGTTTCAGTGACTTCTCTTAAAAGAGAAGTTCACAGTGCTAGGTATGGAGAGTCCGTATGACCTCATCCTAGGCATGCCTTGGTTGGCTAAACACCAACCATGGATAGGCTGGCGTACATGCACAGTCGCTAGCTCTACGAAAGACACCGGAAAGGATGTGCTCTTGCGAGAGGATTATGTGGCTGATGCTGTGTCCAACACAGTCGAGGGTGCGATGACGGTATGTCAATCGACACCAGGAACTACCCAGCTCGAAAGGAGTGGTGTAGTTGGGAGTGCACTGGCGGAAAGCCAGGTGACACATATTCCTACCCAGGTCGAAAAGACTGGTACAGTGAATGGGACGATGACAGGTAGTCATGCGTCCAATAGTCCTGCACAGAGCCGAGAGCCTGTGGCAGTTGATGGTGAGCTGAGAGGAAGTTAATCGCCACAAGAACCGGCACATAGACATGAGCCTGGTGCGGTTGGAAGGAGTGCGTTAGCTGAGACAGCAACGACACCTTCTTCCAGGTCAAAGGTCGTGGTGACTCGAAGAACGAGCACCAGACGTATTAAGACGATCAAGGGCACGTCGAAACGAGTGACCCTTGGATCAGTCTCGGTCCAAGAGGACGGACCTACGAACGAGTTGTTCGAGGCCGTTGAAGACAAAATGCCGGAGGCATCCTCAGTTGAGGTGCTCCAACTTGTCTTGGCATATGCCGAGGAGATAGTAAATCTCTCGGAGATGACGTGGGATCTGTTCCTGTCCGAAATAAAGGAAGGAAAGATCCACGAGATAGTCGCACCAGTTCCAGAAGAGAACGTGGTGGACTGTTGCTCTTCATCCACAATGGATGAGAGCGTCTTGGAGACCGACAAAAAGAAACGGTTCGCTGATCAAGGCTGGGATGCCTTGAAGGACAGCCCGTTCTATGATGTTCTGTGGAAACACCGTGATGTGTTTCCAGCAGAAGTGCCGAGCCGCCTACCGGCCGATAGGGGCATCAGGCACGAGATTGACCTGTAGCCTGGCACCAAGTATTGTGTGACCAGACAATGGCCGTTGCCGAAGGAACAAGTCGATTACATCGATGAGTTCTTCGACAAGCGAGCCAAGGCGGGACATGTACGTGAAAGCAAGTCGCCTCACTGCAGCCCGACCTTCTGTGTGCGTAAAGCCACGGGTGGATGGCACGTGGTTCATGCTTATAATAAGCTGAACACGGCCACCATTCCGGCGCAAACGCCGATCCCGCGGAAAGATGTCTTGTTGAATTCCATGGGAAAGTCAACAATCTTTTCCGCGTTGGAGCTGAAGGATGGCTACTATCAGGTTCTCATGAGAGATACCGATGTAGCCAAAACGGCAGTAAGCACCCCAAGGGGTATGCTGTGGGAGTGGCTTGTGATGCCACAAGGGCTGAAAAATGCTCCGGAAACATTCAACCGAGTGGTGGCTCACGTGATGCGTCAGCACCGTGCCTTCGCGCCCTATTACTTTGACGATGTATTCGTGCATAGTAGGGCGGAGGACGGTCTGAGCGCGATAGAGTCGCACAAGCGTCATCTAGACGCTGTGTTGCAGACTCTGGATGACGCCCAATTATACGTGAACTTGCAAAAGTGCGTAATAGGGGTCCCCGAGATACCTGTATTGGGCTGAATCGTAGGTGCACACGGTGTACGAGCAGACCCAGAAAAGGTAAAGGCTGTAAAGTAATGGCCAGTCCCACGACATGTGAAGGATCTGCGCCAATTCTTTGGGCTCGCTAATTACTTGCATAAGTACAGCAAGAATTATGCGGAGCAGACCAAGCCATTGTCTGACCTTTTGTAAAAGGATACAGAATGGACTTGGTCGAAGGAACAAGAAGATGCGTTCACTTCAGTGAAGCAATCTCTTGTAGAGGCACCGGTCTTGGCATTGCCAGACGCGGATAAGCCCTTTAGCGTCGTCTGCGATGCAAGCAATTTTGCAATCGGCAGCGCGCTCATGCAGAAGGATGACAACGGCGTTGAACGTGTCATTTCGTATCAGTCTCGGCTTTTAAAAGCTGCCGAGCTGAATTACCCTGTGCATGACAAGGAGCTACTTTCAATTAAGTATGCCCTTGTGAAGTTTCGGGTGCACCTCTTGGGCACCGAACCTTTTGTGGTTTATACGGATCACGCATCACTGCGGACCGCTATGAATTCACCGCACCTCTCGCCGAGAATGGCGAGATGGCTAACATTCCTCTCTGATTTAATTTCAAAGTTGAATATAAGCCGGGTAAGTCGAATGTCTTGGCTGACACGTTATCGCGCAGACCAGACTTCGAGGCAAGACACCAGGATAGTGTGTCTCGTGCGAAAGCACAAGTTGAGTCGTCAACATTGGCAGCCATGAAGGTCTACCATGTGACGAGCTCAATGGCCTCCGATATCAAGGAGTGTTACAGTCAGGACG